TGGCTTGGGAGCTCATTTCTTTTTGCTGTTGAGTAATACTCCACCGTTGAGATGACCATGAGTGTTTATCTACTCAGCTACTGGAGGACATCTCTGTTACTTCCAAGTTACAGCGATTATGAATAAAGCTGCTTTAAACATACATGTTTGTGTCTAAGTTTTTAACTCCTTGGGGTGAATACCAAGGATAACACTTTCTGGATCACATGGTAAGAATATATCTAGTTTCATAAGAGTGTGCCAAGCCATCTTCCAAAGTGGCAGTACCATTTTGCATTCCCACTAGCAAATGTATCCGAATCCCTCTTGCTCCAAAGCCTGCATTTGGTGGTGTCAGTTTTCGGGATTTGGGGCATTTTATTAGGTGTGTAATGGTATCTCCTTTTAATTTGCATTTCTCTGATGGTGTATGATATGGAAGATCGTATATGCTTATTTGCCATCTGTATGAGGCCTCTGTTCAAGTCTTTGGCCCATTCGTTTAATCAGGTTGTGTGTTTTCTTCTTAACGAGTTTAAGAGCACTCTGTATATTTTGGATAACTGTCCTTTATCATCCGTGTCTTTTACAAATATTTTGTCCCAGTCTGTGGCTTGTCCTCTCATTCTCTTGATACTGTCTTTTGAAGAACAGAGGTTTTAAACTTTAATAAGCTCTGGCTTATCAATAACTTCTTGCATGAGTTGTGTCTTCGGTGCTGTGCCTAGACAGGTGTCATTCTACCCAAAGTCTTCTAGGTTTTTTCTCCTATATTATTTTCTAGGAGTTCTATAGTGTTATTTTTCCCAATCATTTTTTTACTAATTCTTGTTATGTTCCAGCTCTCTTTTCTTTTTTTAAAGATATTATTTATTTATTTTAGAGACGGAGAGAGTGTGAGGAGAGGTCAGACGCTTAACAGACTGAGCCACCCAGTGCCCCCTCCTTCAACGACTGATGGTCCCAGCGCTCTCATTAAGCCTTCTTTCCAACGTCTCACCCTCGCTCTCCTGCAGATCATTTAGTCTCTGCTCTGATGAAGTAAATTGGAAAGGTCAAATATAACCTACCTACACTTTCTACCCTTTTCCGCACAAAGGTCATACACCTGCCCTTAACTCTCCCAGCCTCCCCAGCTCCATTTCAGTTGAAGGATAGTCCCTTTCTGTACTCTTTATCCTTCATTCCTATCTTCTTTATCCTTCCTGTCATTTTTCTTCTATCACCAGGCTCTTACTTTGTACTGTTATGTCTCCTCAAGTAATAAGTATGCTCAATTCTTTTCTATACTAAAAAAAAAAAAAAAAAAGAAAACAACCCCAAATGCTCAATTCTTTTCTATACCAAAAAAAAAAAAAAATCCCCAAACAACAACAAAATAGCAGCAATAATACCATCACCTCCTTTGATCCTGTGTCTATTCTGATTTTAACTGTCTTTCATCTTCCTATGGCTAGAGCTCTTTTCAGTTATCATCTCCATTTCTTACTTCCCTTTCCCCTGTCAACCCAATGAACTCTGACTTCTCCCAGTATCACACCACAGCTGGCCTAGCTGAAGACCTTATGATGGCTGCATTGCACTTTCCACATCCCTGTCTGTGTTGAATTTGACTCTCCCAACCACACTGTCCTTAAAATTCACCTTGCCTTTGGCTTCCATGACCTCATTGCTATAATTTCTCTGACATTCCTTTTCATGCTCTTTTCTGACCACTTCTAAATGTTTGTATTTCCCTGGATTCCACTGTGAGCCACTGCTATTTCACTCAAAGTTTTAACTGAACACACACACACACACACACACACACACGACTTACAAGTCTTCATCTCTAGTCCTGACATTGCCATTTTGCTTCAGAGGTCGGGTCACTTCTATATGTATTTCCCAAGGGTACCTCAAATTCAACAAGGCCTTGGCTGAATTCAACATCAACTCCCCGACTTTCCAAGACTTGGTTCTTCTCCTCTTCTCTTCTATTCCGTCTGAGGTGGTAGCCCCAGGAGTTTCAGAATCATTCTAGAACAGCACAATATTCAGTAAAATTATAATGTAAACCACATACTTAATTTAAAATGTTCTGACAGCCACATTAAAAAAATGGAACAGTGAAACGATTACTAAAAATTGATTTTAGTTTACCCCAATATATCCAACATAATATTACTATGATAAATCTGCAAACATTTAATGAAATATTTTGCATTTTTTTTTTGGTACTAACTTTTCAAAATCCAGGTGGCATCTTACACTCATTGAATGCCTGAATTGAAACTATTCAGTAGGGCACAGTGACCCTGTGTGACTTGTGGCTCCTGTCCAGTGCAGTTCTTGAGTCCTTACCTCTAGTAATCTCTCTCTTATCCAGTTATTAGTTCTGTCGATTTTATCTCCTAGGTGTTTCTCCAGTAAGTATTTATTTTCATCCTTACTATATCATGGCTTTAGTTCACACCTCATTTCTCATTTGGGTTATTGCAGTAGCTTGCATAGTCTCGTTTCTCAGCCTTAGAGAGTGTGTAAAATCCACTAGAATAAAGGAAGATATAGTAGAACATTCTTATATGTATTTTTATCTAGAAAATAAAAAGTCAGATTTATTAATATTTAAAAAACATATTGATGCCAGCACCTTGCTCTAAGTCAATAGTAAAATGTAAATATAAGACATAAAATATGTTTTTCCCACAAAATAAAAATTTATTTTATCCTCATGCAGACTTCAAAAATTCTCTGTATGTTTCTATATGATGTACATAATTTATTAACACAATAGTCCTATATAACTTAAAAATAAAATTACATGTGTACTTGAAATTTATTTTAGTACTTCTGGGAGGGGTGAGGTCACTAAAATTTGGGGTCTCATGGGCCCGGATCCACTCTGACTTTACCCCACTTGCCTTCCCAACCTCAACTTCTTCATCCCCACCTCCCATTTTCTGTGCTTAGTGGGTCTTTCATATTTTGCTTTTGTTTGTTGTTCTTCATGTAGTTAAACAAATAGTTAAACAGAATTAGGTCAAGAAGTAGTTTATCTTCTAGGCTCTTCTGAGGTACCATCTCTTCAAAGAAAGCCTATGACAACTTCTGGAATTATGTCAAGTGCTTCTTGCCTGACATACAGTTCTTATTACACTGTTAGACTGAAATTATATTTTTTCAATTTTCCCCCCAAAAATATAAGATTCATGTAGTCAGGGATTATGGCATCATCATGCTTTTTTCATCTTGACATATGACAGGTTCTTTAGAAATGTTCATCAAACTACATTAACGGCTCTCCTTGTTGGCACCAGACTGTTCTACCAGCGAATGAAATGAAATGGTGACTTGTTCATTGTACTTTATGGAGTATCTGGGGGACGTCCTTGTCTCCAAAGATACAGGATAAAATAACTATACTTTCATTTTAGTACTGTGATTAGTATGCTATTTGTAAGAAGCTCATGGGGGTCGATAACAGTGTTAGCATGAAATGAACTGTCCACTTGCTTCTTACTAGAAATAGGATGAGGTTACTTGCTCTAGCAGAGTGAAGTTTTGCTTGTATGTGTACATGTGGTGGCCATCAAACTTCAGGATGGGTGATGATCAACTTGGACACTTTATAAAATTTCTGGGTTTCACATGTACATATTCTGATTCATTTGAACGGGTGATGGTCCAAGAATCTGTATTTTTAAAACAGACCACACTGATGATAATATAGATGATAGAAACCACACGCCGAGAAGTGTTGTTTCCTTCTTTCTGAAGTAGAGAGGAAGAGGACAGAGTAATTTCGAACAACTGAGAGAACGGCCGTAGGGATAGAGTGAGGTTCTATTGTGGAGGCCTACAGAAGTTACAGAGCATTGTAAAGGAGAGTGGACACCTGGGAAAAGTTGAAACAGGGAGTCCAGGGTGGCAGGGCCTGGGGATGTGGAGAGAGTCTTGAAGATCAGTAAGACAACTTTGGCTTATTTCACAATTTTCCCTAGGATTGATGTTTCTTCTTCAGCAGGCAAACTTACTATCAATATTTTATAAAAATCAAATTATTTGGGTATTTCCTCTTTATTTAGAATCTGACATGCATTAGTCATCCAGTAATTTTTTATTTTTTTAATTCAGAATCTCGAGGATATTGAGCACTTTAGGTACAGGATGATTTTTAGTATTTAGGTCAGTATCCTATAATTCTAGACAGTATTTCATTTTGGGTGCTATGACAACAACAATTATCTAGCGTAGGGGAGAAGGTAGACTATGCCATGTGGAAAAATCGAATTTAGCTTTGCAACTAGGAGAAAAAAATAGATTTTTGTTTAAATGCCATTGACAAATAATTTCTGTCAAAACTGTAATCCGAGTTATTAATGTTTTAACATTTAAGCAGTTTAAACATTTTCATGAAGATGCTGCGTATCTGTTAGCACAACGAATAACAGCCAGAAGTAGACGGATAAATCTAGACCATTAAGAAGCTCCAAACTTTTAATTTTCACTCATTGTTTCAGCTTTCCCACTCATCCAGTTTTATTCAGGGCTGTGAGCTGTTAAAAAGGAACTTAATTGGTTGACTTGAGTTTCTTCTTTTCACCATTTGGCGGCCAGCCTCTTGTGGAAATAATAACGAGATGCAAACGCAAACAAATGGACCAGTGCGCAGGAAGCGAAGAGACAGTGGGCATGGAGAGTTTATTATTGTTCATCCAATCAACTAAATGTGTCTTAATTGTAGCAGCAAAATGCCATATATAGCCTTAGCACAAGCCTACTGGGGCCTCATTTAATTCCTGTCCATTTCAGTTGTCTTGCTTCCATCATCCACTTAAGGGTCCAGATTTCCCTCTGGTGATCTGGTGTTTGGGAAGATAAATTATCTTGAATAGCTCAATGGAAGTTGGGCTTTGGGGAGACAGTATCGTCCTTACTGTGATTTATGCCTTGTTTTTAACTTGGCTTGGTGCAAGCCCTGTGCTCTCCATTGGCTCCCGTGAAACTAAGCATCTCTGCCAATCTGTGCTCTGTCACAGGTGATTCGCAAGGGCTGGTTAACCATCAGCAACATCGGCATCATGAAAGGAGGCTCTAAGGGTTACTGGTTCGTCCTTACTGCCGAGAGCTTGTCCTGGTACAAAGACGACGAGGTAAGTCACGGAGGATGGCAGAGTTTTCTTACTAAAGTGCTTCTCATTTTAAATTAATTGATATTGTGATACACAATTTCAAGACAAGAATGGTTCTCTTTCAGTAAGACTTAGCTTGGGGTGTTTGTTTGAAGAAGCATTTTTTTCTTATAGATGTTTAATTTTAGAATATCCCCCTCAAATTTTTTTTTATTTCTTTTGTATTGTCACATGTTTCTTCACCTGAAGACATGGAATTGGGACTCAGTTTTTGGAAATTTCCGTCTTTGTAATAATGGCGAGATACCGATAGAGGGAAAGCAGTCTTCATTAAATAATGTGTTGAAAAGACCCAAGGATAGAGAGCCTCTTAAGAATGAAAATAGCACTGATGCAAAGTTAATGAAGAATTTTGGGATTGTTGTTGTAATGTCTGTCTCAAATGGCAGGCTTTTGAAAATGTCCAAATCATATAGTCCTCAAGCGAATTTATACAAATGTTGTGTTCTTTGAAAATTTGACAGCTATGTGAAAGCAAGAATTTTGATAATTATGCTATTCTTGTTCATGTTAGATGTTAATAATTTGAGTCCTATGACTTACTACTCATTTCAATCTGATTGGTATAAAAGCACAAAAATTTGAATCCGTCTTTGGGAACCCTTAGAGTGCTATAAAATGATACTGCTTAATTTGGGAAATCATGGATGAAATTAACTGTGTTTTGGAAATTTTAATACCTCTGGTCTGACCTGAGTAGTTTTTGGTGCTTATTACGCGGTATACAAACATTAGATAAGAATACCTCATGATCTCAAAGCTATATACAGGTGAGATTGTCTCAATTTTATTTGGCTCAAAAGGGCTTGATTTTCAGAGTTAAAAATCCTTCCAACCCTGGCTTGATTATTTTCTTTGAAAGCACTACAAGTTGCCTTTGTCAGTTGTTCTAGTTACAGTTTCATTTCTTCTTAGGTATTTCTGTTTCCCAAGTGCTTGGTGCACAACAGAGTGTTAGTCAGATGATCAGTTGATGACCACCACATTTTCTTCAGTAAGAGAAATAAAATCTTACAGAAATGTCCAAAGAAGATTTCAATACAAACGCTTTTGAAAAATTTTTATGTCCTGTATTTCACTGACTTCTGTCAACTGTGGACTTGGTCGTTGTGAGGGTCTGAGGATTAGCAATGGCTTCTTTCCTGTGCTGGCTGCTCCGAAATCCCTGTCATTGTGTGGGAAGGTCCAGTGTTTAAACACCACAGCTTCAGGGGCTCTGAGATGCCTCCCTAGACAGAAAATCAGTAAGTTCCTTCTTCTGTGTTCATTTGACTTAAGAGATCTTCTCTTAGATATAGGTCGTTTCCAAGGATTTAGAGGATCATTTCTGTATACTTAAATACATACTGGTTTGGGGGCCTTTATCAGCTATTCTAGGGAAAGCAAAAGATTTTGTTGAGGATTCATAGTAATAATAGCTAGTGTTTTATGTAGATTAATTAACTCATTCAATCCACATTAGGACCCTAAGGATAAATGCTATCACGATAGAGAAGTAAACTAAACAAACAATAAAACCCAACTTTTGGAAAGTCATTTCTCAGGTTCTCTTATTGCAGACTACTTGGTGTTTGTGAGGATAACTAACTTCCCAAGGTCTCCTAGCTAGTTGGTAGCAAAGCAGAAATTCAAACTCAGGCCATCTGGCTCCAGATCTTATGTCTTCAATCACAAGTGGAGGCAAGAATCCCAGAGATGCTGAAGTTGTCAAAGTCGGCCTCATTCCACAGAGGATTTAATACAAGTTCCAGGCATTTTGTCATTATCTTTTCCTGGAGATTAGTATCAGGGGCTCTGAAGACAATAGGATTAGCTGCTGCTGTTGGAATATGGCTCTGGGGTTCTCTTTTCGGGCTGGGCTGTGTGGGTCCTGAAAGAGGGCCACTAGAAGGCTCACGATGCCCCCTATAGGGAAGAAAGGAGCCTTGAGGGCTTGGTAACCTTATGATTACTGGTTATCCCTTCCTGTCCTTTGTAAACTTAGGATAACTTTTTACAAAATCTCTGTGGCTAAAGTGCCCTCATGAGCACTTGATTATAACAAATGGAAAATAAGTGTGTGCGGTTATAATATTAACTGAGTGCTGGAGACCATTGTATTGACGTATATGTGTAGAGGGTGTTTGGGCATGTGCAGGTTATTATAGGAATGACCCTTGAAATATAGTAGAGTGATTTAGAAGTTTAAGAGAGGATTGTTTGCTTAGTTTAGACCATTTCAAGAAAAAAAAAAAAGATAAATTTGTTGTTCTGTGGAACTAACAAAGAGACTAATAAGATAATATCAGATATTAAGTGCTCTGAAAAAAAAAAATACGGGGGTGACCTAGAAAGTGATGGGGGCACAGGGCACCTGGGTGGCTCAGTAGGCTAAGCCTCTGCCTTTGGCTCAGGTCATGATCCCAGGATCCTGGGATTGAGCCCTGCATGGGGCTCTCTGCTCAGCAGGGAGCCTGCTTCCTCCTCCCACCCCCACCCCCGCCTGCTTCTCTGCCTACTTGTTGTGATCTCTGTCTGTGAAATAAATAAATAAATAAAATCTTAAAAAAAAAAAAATGAAGTGATGGGGAAGAATCTTTAGATTGGGTGTTTGGGGTAACAAACATCAGAGCAGAGGCTGGAATGATGAGGTGGGTAGATTTTGTTGAAGAACATTCCAGGTAGAGAGAACCATAGTATAAACACCCTCCCACCCCCTCTGCCACCACCACCACCACCACCACCACCCAGGCTGGGAGTCAGCAAGCCTCCTGTGGCTGAAATGTGAGAGCATAGGGGAGAGAGGTAGGAGATAAAATCAGAGGTACCAGCCGGTGGGGACTTATCAGGCTCCAGCCTATCATTTGGATTTTATTTCAAGGATGACTGAAAATCATTGGCTTATTCCAACAGGATGGGACATGATTGGATTTATGTTTTAGAAAGATCACTCTGGCTACTGGGATGGGCATGATGTGTGGGAAGGAATGGGTGTGTGGAAGGAGGGGAGTGGCAGGAATAGAAGAAGGGAGACCAGCTGGGACACTGTAGCGGTGGTCGAGATAAGAGAAGATGTTGGCTTATCCTGGGTGGCTTGAGAGGAGCTCTTAGTGCAGGGTAGCAAACTGATGGGCCACATACAGCCACACTGTAGCTATTAGCTACTGTTCCTCAGTAGAACTGTGCTCCAGAAACAAGCTAGGAAGTTCTCAAAATATTAATGCCTGACTCACAAATGACCCCTATCTTCAGATTGTTTGTTGCTGGGAAGAGCCCTTTTCCACTGGGGCCATCCACATCCATTCCCACATCATCATTCCTTGGCCACCGCCACTGTCCTCCTCTGCTCCACTCTGTTTCTCTTGCCAGAGTTTGCTACCACAGCAGACCACCTTTGAGCTTGCTGTCCAGTCGGGAGGGAGGGTACAGTACTGTTCCTGTCTTTCTGCTAGTGTTCAACCAATAGTAGTGTCAGCTGGGAGCAGAGGCCAGAAGGGAGGACACAGGGAAAGGAGGTCAAGAAGAAACATCAGAAGGTAGGGCTCGGAAGTAGTGATGAGTCTCTGGCCCGTTGAATTTGTACCCTAAACTCCCATCTTTTAGCAGCAATGTTTTAAATGCTACTGAGATTCCATAAAGGTCTTATTGCTATAGTTCAAGTACATGTGGCCTGACCACGCTTCTGTGGGTAACCTCAAAACCCCCCAGTTTAGACTATTCCTTTGTGAAAATAAGCCTCAATTCTAACTCAATGTTTGGAGGCAATTTGTTGTTGAATTAAGTGCTTGTCCTTTGTTCCCATGGTATCTGTCTAATACACGCGTCAGCATCACCATCCTTGGAAATCCTGTTACGGGATAATTTATCTTAGTCAAGCCAGTGTGACACAGTAAGTATCATTAAGCTAGTTATATTTTCATTCATTTGTTCAGTGACAAATTTATATGCAAATTTTCACAGAGGATTATTGTATTTTTTTCTGTGTTCTGCCATCTTCCTTCTTTCTTGTGTAATTAGGTTGGTATGTTTTCATTCTAACGGGCTGCTGAATAAAGAGCATATTATATCATATGAATAGATACGATTTTATGTAACTTATTAAGTCTGTAATAAATATAAATGACTTCCGAAATCTATCTGAGATTGAAGAACAATAGCTTGACCTGTTTTCCAGGATGACATTAATCGAACAAAAGACCCTATAAACCATACACGTGGTATGGTGAGCATGGCGAGCTATGGGGGGGGCGTGGATTTGCTATGACAAATGCCAGTGTTGGAACAAGTCCGTCTTCTCTGGGCCTCACTTCTTTCCTTTCAACTTGTTGAATGGGGACCTTTGCTGACCAAATCCCCTCCAAGATATAGTCTAGGACTCTAAGAAATCCTATATAAATAAGTGCTCTTATAAACTTAGGTGTCACATTTATATATTCATGGTTGCCATGGCAAGTAACAACTGTGCCCTCCCACTGAAAAGCCATTCTTTGACTCACACGTCTTCTAATTTCCAGTTTTTTGTCATTTCATGTTGTGAGATCAGAGATATGGTATCTGGGTGGGTTTTATTTTGTTTTGTTTTATTTTTGTTTTTTTTTTTTAAAGATTTTATTTATTTTTATTTGACAGAGAGAGATCACAAGTAGGCAGAGAGGCAAGCAGAGAGAGAGGAGGAAGCAGGCTTCCTGCCGAGCAGAGAGCCCAAGGCGGGGCTCGATCCAAGGACCCCGGGATCATGACCTGAGCCGAAGGCAGAGGCTTTAACCCACTGAGCCACCCAGGCGCCCCTTGTTTTGTTTTTTTAAACAGAGAGTGGTAAAGGTCAGACTCTTTAAGAGGGAACTCAGATGCCGTTCCTTCAGTGAGACTTGCCATGCTGCCTCCCCCTCCACTCGGGGTTCTCTTACCACCTCAGCCAAGAATTGGAGGCTATAATACAAAAATGTGATTTTTGTATCCTTTGCATCATGTTTGTATCATGC